TTAGGATTTAGCATTAGGATTTAGAATGAGGATTTAAAATTAGGATTTAGAATTAGGATTTAGAATTAGGATTTAGAATTAGGATTTAGAATTAGGATTTAGAATTAGGATTTGGAATTAGGATTTAGAATAAGGATTTAGAATTAGGAAGAATGAGGATTTAGAATTAGGATTTACAATTAGGATTTAGCATTAGGATTTAGCATTAGGATTTAGAATTAGGATTTAGAATTAGGATTTAGAATTAGGATTTAGAATTAGGATTTAGAACTAGGATTTAGAATTAGGATTTAGAATTAGGATTTAAAATTAGGATTTAGAATTAGGATTTAGAACTAGGATTTAGAACTAAGATTTAGAACTAGGATTTAGAACTGGGATTTAGAACTAAGATTTAGAACTAGGATTTAGAACTAGGATTTAACATTAGGATTGAGCATTAGGATTTAGCATTAGGATTTAGAATTAGGGATTAGAATTAGGGATTAGGATGAGGGATTAGGATTAGGGATTAGAATTAGGGACTAGAATTAGGGATTAGAATTGGGGATTAGGATTAGGGATTAAAATTAGGGATTAGAATTAGGGATTAGAATTAGGGATTAGGATTAGGGATTAGAATTAGGGATTAGAATTAGGGATTAGGATTAGGAATTAGGATTAGGGATTAGGATTAGGGATTAGGATTAGGGATTAGGGATTAGGATTGGGGATTAGGATTAGGGATTAGGATTAGGGATTAGGGATTAGGATTAGGGATTAGGATTAGGATTAGGGACGATTAGGGATTACGATTAGGGATTAGGATTAGGGATTAGGATTAGGGATTAGGATTAGGGATTAGGATTAGGGATTAGGGATTAGGATTAGGGATTAGGATTAGGGATTAGAATTAGGGATTAGGATGAGGGATTAGGATTAGGGATTAGAATTAGGGACTAGAATTAGGGATTAGAATTAGGGATTAGGATTAGGGATTAAAATTAGGGATTAGAATTAGGGATTAGAATTAGGGATTAGAATTAGGGATTAGGATTAGGGATTAAAATTAGGGATTAGAATTAGGGATTAGGATTAGGGATTAGGATTATTAGATTAGATTAGATTAGATTAGTTAAACAAAAAATAAAACAAATACAAAACACACAAAAAAAACACACATTTTTCAAATCTATTTTGCACATAACTCTGATTTCCCAGACTTCCAAACCACCAATCCAAACCGCCATATAAGTATAACCTGATCCAATGCGATGGGCCAAGTAAAATCGCAATTTTACCTCAGCTTTTGACGTCCAACGTCCATTTCGTGCGAAAGGGTTGCGATGGGCCAAGAAAAATCGCACTTTTACCTCAGTTTTTGACGGCCAACATCCATTTCGTGCGAAAGGGTTGCGATGGGCCAAGTAAAATCGCAATTTTACCGCAGTTTTTGACGTCCGACGTCCATTTTGTGCGAAAGGGTTGCGTTTCGTGGCGCTCCGGCGGCACCGCCCCTGCCTCAAGAGAGAGAGAGAAAGAAGAGCGAGAGAAGATCCGCAGATGTGAAGGTGCGAGGAAGTAGATGTAAGGGTGTGAAGGTGTAGATCTGCAGATGTGAAGGTGTGAAGATGTAGATCTGCAGGTGTGAGGGTGTGAAGATGTAGATTTGCAGATGTGAGGGTGTGAAGATGTAGATCAGCAGATGTGAAGGTGTGAAGATGTAGACCTGCAGATGTGAGGGTGTGAAGATGTAGATCTGCAGATGTGAAGGTGTGAAGATGTAGATCTGCAGGTGTGAGGGTGTGAAGATGTAGATCTGCAGATGTGAGGGTGCGAAGATGTAGGTCAGCAAATGTGAAGGTGTGAAGATGTAGATCTGCAGATGTGAGGGTGTGAAGATGTAGATCTGCAGATGTGAGGGTGTGAAGATGTAGATCAGCAAATGTGAGGGTGTGAAGATGTAGATCTGCAGATGTGAAGGTGTGAAGATGTAGATCAGCAGATGTGAAGGTGTGAAGATGTAGATCAGCAGATGTGAGGGTGAAGGTGTGAAGATGTAGATCTGCAGATGTGAGGGTGTGAAGATGTAGATCTGCAGATGTGAAGGTGTGAAGATGTAGATCAGCAGATGTGAGGGTGTGAAGATGTATTACAACGGCTGCTTTTTTACGAAGAACCCTTCGCAGGCGCTCTCGGGAAAAAGGGGGAAACTGACAAAATCCGAGCCGACACGTTGGAAACGCAGCAAGTCAGTCCTCCTAAATTGCGCAGGTGCTGCAAGCACTACCAAGGGCAACAGCACCAAACAGTGCCTTGGGAACATCAGGATGACAAGAATGTTAAGCCATGGATATTCTGACGATTCGACGATCTCTGAACGTTGAATCTTTCGATCCTAATTGCAGGTAGTTTCAAAATGCTTCAAATAGGGGCCTCATTGCACACAAGTGTACACAAATAGACTAAATAGACATGGCCTGAAAAACCTTCATGTCTACCTTCATGAATCATAACTTTCATCAGGCTGTATTTCATAACTGTATTATTGAGATTATTGAGCCAAAAACGACAATGTGTTGCCGCTGTGTTGCATCTTGAGCTCTTCTTTTCGCTGCTCGGATCAAATTGATCAAGCATGATCAAGCACAGAAAACAGCGATAAACAGCGAGCACCCATGCAAAGTCCTCTCAAATTGAGTATCAAAACTATTCAAAACTGGTCAGATGTAATTGATGTGATGCATCCTTAAACTTGGCCCGAACGCCCAGGATCCCGCAGGATCTCTTCAGCCAGAGCCACAAGGTCCACATGTCATCACGGCATGGTGATGGAAGCTGACACCATGACTTGAAGCGTTTTAGTGCCAAGGACAAGCAATCTTGAGAACCTTGGCCTTGACCAGTGACTACCACGTCTTTCAATATCATACACTGCATTCCTGAACCTTCAAGTTTTGCTGTTACTTTCCGGATAAATAACAGGGCAATGTCTTGCTACGCTTGGTGTAGTATATAGTTCCTATCAAGCTCAGTCATTGCTGGATAGAGTTGGTTTTCCCTAATGGCTTCTACGTATCCTGCAGCCTGTCGGAATTTCATCCTGCCTCCAAACTCCAAAGAGCGGTTATATCGGAGGATGTGGTTATGAAACATGGATTCACTTCTCCGCCTGCAACTGAGACACCATGTGACGCCATGTGACTAAAGATATTATCGCTGTCCAGCCTTTGTGGAGAGTTTCAGCCAACTCTTGAGCTGTAGTAAGCCGTAGCTTTTCAGAGGTGGTACACGCCACAAAATCGTGTCAAACGTGCAGAGAATCTGAACGATCTGTGTTTCAGCTTCTATGACTTCGCCAATGTGAGGAAGACGAGTAATACCGGGTTTTCAAGCAAAACTCAACGACCAATACTGCAACAACTACTGCAACCCTGCAAATTCATGTGAGGACACCTTCAGCTCTGCCTGGTGCTTGCAAACACTCGTTTTTTCATCAGGCAGTATTCACGAAGCAGAGCAATGCCATCTTCAGCTATTTTGCTGGTAGCTAAACAGTCAAGTCCCCCATCGAGAAGGATCATGATCAGTCAAGTCCTCCATCAAGAAGGATCATGAGCAACGACCCACCCCTCGCATCTCAGCTCGCATGCGAGTAAGCAGCCTGATGTAAAAAAAAAGCTCCAGCTAGATCTTGTCATGGCAATTTCCGCAAAATTGAAATAAATGATCACAAACTTGGAGTCTTTGGAGGTTTTAGATCTTTAAAGTTGGCGAAGAAAATCCAGTTGAACAAGGTCGACGAATGTTGACAAGCATGCAGGGCCCCACCCTGTTACCAGGCTCAGTCCATTGAGACGGTGCGTACAGACTCTGCTTCTCGGTCTGCGATGGCCCTAAATCCGCTTAGGGGACTTGGGACATTGGAACGATGTGTGTCAGCCAGAAAAGCGAACGAACAAATCGAACAAGCAAACGACAATGCGAAATTGATCGACTTTGAAAAATTGGCCAGAACATCTGCATAAATGGGGACAACATGGGACAACATAATCCGATCCAAGGAGAGAAACTCAACCAAGTCCAGAAAACGGTTTTAGGCCACTGCCGTGAAACCATGTCTCTGCGCGTCATAGATGTGGAAACTTGCACATTGAAATCTATTCAAAGATATTGACGCATGCGGCCGCATGCGTGTATGTATGTCTATGTAACTATGTACAGTATGTGACAGTATGTGTATGTGTCCCAATGCCTTGTGACAAACCAAATCTGATCTGTTGCTCTCAAAAATCTTGCCATTCTGGCGTTCGGCTGCCTCATTCCACCTCAGTGTATCTCTGGGTGGCCAAGCTATATGGTGATTCTGGCTACCAGCACATACATCTTCGAAAGCTCACCAAATTTGTACGACACTGGCACAAGTACAACATGTCATCATTGAAACTGGAGTGCAAGAGCGAGATGAGGCTGCTTGACGGCCTTGACAGACATCTTTGAACTTTCTGAACAGATCCACTTGAAAAGATGAAGGCCATGTGGACATCAATGAAAGGAGTACAAACGTAGGCCGGAAATGCCAATGGAAAGCGGCACTTGTCACATTTTGTCACTGGTTAGAAATCAAAATAAATGCATCTTTCAATCCATCGTTGAAATGTGTAGATCTCACCATACCAAAACTGGCAAAACATCAAAATCTTCCAACACCATCCGTCCCAAATCCCATTCGCTGGGCTCTCTGCCACATCTATGCTCGGCTTGGTCGGTCGTGGTGCCTTAAGTGATCACAGTCCAGGCATCACTCGGTGCGACACTCTCACCAGGGCTCAAACATCGGAGTGCAAGTCCAAATGAATGTTGCCCAAGTCAACCTGCAAAGTGCATGAAGTCAAGCGTACCCCAAAAGCACAATAGTCGACCTCTGACATAAGGTATATCAACAAATTGTTGCGTCTTAATGCGTCTTATCCAAGATTTGAGTTCATGTCAGAACGGATTGAAACGACGAGACTGTGATTTCAAAACACGAGGCTTTCCACAGCACCCAGCTGCAACACCTTGCCATTTATCAAGTCTTCAGCCATCTGTTTGGCATCAATCCTGCAGCGGTTTTTGTCAGGCTGACAGCGGCTGACATTTGAAAAGGCCGAGGATGGCCGAGGCACAGAACAAACCGACACAACCCACTTCCCGCCGTTGAAAGTTTCCAGGTGAAAACGCGCAAAGTCCAGTTCTGGCCCCAAGATCCTGAGATCCCACTCTGAGATCCCCAACTGGTTTAGATCGATGCTCTCAATTGTCTGTTTGACCTTCTCCATAACCTGACCCCGTGCGACGGGACATGGAGAGCCCGTCCCAGTCGTGGAAGGTGTGGCACAACTGCCTTGGTGGCCCCATCAGTAGCTTCGTCTGCGTAGGCGTGCACCTGACGAACTGGGCCAAGCTCAAGTCAATCTATAGGTACTATAGATTTATATAGATAGATGCATACTAAGGCATACGGCATACTACAAAAAACTTCAAAGAAGTCGATCTCAAGAAATGATGAATCACTTCTCCCTCAAAAAAATCCTGAGACGACGTGCAAAACGAGCCATGAGACCATTCTATAGGTCATTCTGCGCCAAAAACAAGCTAAGGAGTGCCAGGGCAGCTGGCACAACTCCGTGCGCTCACATCGCTCACCATCTGCAAAGTTAGGCCAGACATGGCTAGAATTACTGTAGTTCTCACCTTGGCTTTGTCCTGAAGTCTCAGGACCGCATCCTCCTCAGTGCGTAGGCGGAAGAGTCGGATAAATGTGCGGTATGAGACGGAATGGCTATATCGCAGAGAGCAAAATGTGTACCCAGTGTACCCATTAGATCTCTCAAGTTGTCATTTTCAGAGTTCCCATAGAAGAACACACATCACATTGGGATACCCGCTTGAAAATACACACAGGAAGGAAATATACTTTCCAGTTTTTGCCCAGTTTGCACCCCCCTTCAGTGATGGAAGATGACAGAAGTGATTGTGCTGAAATGAGTCGAACACCACCACAGCTCCCCACTTCTCAGGCTCCCAACCAACACCTGGAAAAGCTTGCCCTCCGAACCCTTTAGCCTGGCGGTGTGGCATGCGGCACGGTCTAAACCAGGGTTTGAAGTCGACAGCGCGCCTCAAGAGCTCAGTTTTCAGCTCCTGAACGCCGTCCTGGACCTCAATTGAGCAAAGTGGCTCTTCACATCCACCGTCCCCTCATTAAGTCTAGAATCTGAGTCACAACAAAGAATCCTGAAAGATCCTGAAAGTATCTTCGAGTCCTGACATGCTGCAACATCTGCAACACATCTGAGCGCTTACATCCACAAAAACTCTAAGCCCATGGCGGTCTGATTCTTCGGGAAGGTACGTCTGTCGATGTCACGCTTGACTGAGTGCGGCAAGCCCGACAGGCTTAATGGGGAGTTGACGTGATCAACGATATTTTGGTTCTTTTTGCTTTTGCCGCAGAGGGATCATCAAGAACAATTTCATAATCAACTAAGATTCCACTTCAAACATATGGAATATTGTCATGTGTAATGATTAGTGCAATGTTGTGGATATGTTCCCCTTCTGTGGCATAATTCCGGCCCCTGCTGAGAGCTCTAGGCAGTGATCTTGTAACTTCTCTTGGCGCAGCATGCGGATAACTTCAATGCCTGCATCGCATGGATGAGTTGCAGGCATGTACTGGCAGAAAATGCAGAAACTACTTCATTCACACAGAAAAGGATCTGTCACTGATATATAATGCTAGGTGTGATGCCTCTGGAAACTCCAATCATTTGAAGGAATTCGATTCGGTCATTTCAAGCAGGCACAAGCATTCTTAACGCAGAACAATTTGACAGACTTAAGTCGCTCCAGAAATGCTTACTTGCTATGCATACACTCTCTGCTGTGGACGTACCATGTGCATCACTTGCACTGAATGTGTCTTTGCCACATTCTTTGGTTTTGCGACAGGGGGGACTTCCTGCTCAGTTCAACTTGTTGGCCACTTGTTGCCCCCTGTACTCCTTTACCAGGGGCTGCCCGGCCGTCGCTGGACATAGATGACACCCACCCGTTGATAGGTTCTTCAATTCGAACCTTAGAATCCAAACAGATCGCATGCGTCGTAAGGAGAACTCAAAAATCCCAACGGAAGCATAAGGCCGTTTCCATCCGCGTTTCCATCCGTTTCCTCAGAATCCTCACTTAGGCGTCACGCAGCACACTTGTCAACCTTGTCCATCCTCCTTGTCCATCCTTGTCATACCTTGTCCAAAGTTTGCCCATCTCTTGGGTGTCCTTGGGTGTTCTTACACGTCGGCCACGAACTTCTGCGACCAACACCTTGGTCTTCTCCCGGATGACAGCTACCTGCACCAAAGCCGCAAGGCACCCACGGGTGTGCAGGAGTTTTTCATCTTGATATGTCTTGATATGTCTTGATATGTCTTGATATGTCTTGATATGTCTTGATGAACCAACGGGCCAAGTTCAGGCAAAGATTAGAATCAGCTGAATTGCAAAGCTCTCAATGCAAAGTTCTCAAGCGCAAGACAAATCTCAATGTTCCTTGGAACTTTCTGCTGCCCTCGTCTCTTTGCCTTTGTCGACTCTGGACTGTGCTTTTCTCGCACCACCTTGATCCCAGCCCCTTCTGGCCCTGAACTCAAATTGTTGCAGATTCCAAACGATGGCACGCCATTTCCATATGTCATTCCAGGTGCTGTGTCAGACAAAGCACCAAGGCTTCCCTTATAAAGATTGAGCAACAGCTTTAAATGTTGCGAGGTCCATAAGGAACTTTCATTGCCTCTCAGTTCTTTGATCCCAGGTTTTACGTCTGAATGCACTGGCTTCCGGACAGCATTGGTAATGCACCGTGCCCAGCCCGGAGAAAGCGGAGGGACTCCTAGCTACATCGACACACGTCGAGCCTGGAAACACGTTGTGATTCATTATTGCCGTTGTCAACTTTTCATCTTTCTGCTAATGTCAAAGGAATCAATTGTTGTTGTTGATGTTGATGTTGTTGTTGTTGTTGTTGTTGCTGTTGTTGTTGTTGTTTGTTGTTTGTTGTTTGTTGTTTGTTGTTTGTTGTTTGTTGTTTGTTGTTTGTTGTTTGTTGTTTGTTGTTTGTTGTTTGTTGTTTGTTGTTTGTTGTTTGTTGTTTGCTGTTTGCTGTTTGCTGTTTGCTGTTTGCTGTTTGCTGTTTGCTGTTTGTTGTTTGTTGTTTGTTGTTTGTTGTTTGTTGTTTGTTGTTTGTTGTTTGTTGTTTGTTGTTTGTTGTTGGTTGTTGGTTGTTGGTTGTTGGTTGTTGGTTGTTGGTTGTTGGTTGTTGGTTGTTGGTTGTTGGTTGGTTGTTGTTGTTGTTGTTGTGTTGGTGTTGGTGTTGTTGTTTGTTGTTTGTTGTTTGTTGTTTGTTGTTGTTGTTGTTTGTTGTTTGTTGTTTTTGTTGTTGTTGTTGTTGTTGTGGTTGTTGTGGTTGCTGTTGTTGTTGTTGTTGTGGTTGTTGTGGTTGTTGTGGTTGTTGTTGTTGATGTTGTTGGATTGTTGAGGTTGTTGAGGTTGTTGACGTTGTTGACGTTGTTGACGTTGTTGACGTTGTTGACGTTGTTGACGTTGTTACGTTGTTGACGTTGTTGACGTTGTTGACGTTGTTGACGTTGTTGACGTTGTTGACGTTGTTGACGTTGTTGACGTTGTTGACGTTGTTGACGTTGTTGACGTTGTTGACGTTGTTGACGTTGTTGACGTTGTTGGCGTTGTTGACGTTGTTGTTGTTGTTGTTGTTGTTGTTGTTGTTGTTGTTGTTGTTGTTGTTGTTGTTCTTGTTGTTCTTGTTCTTGTTCTTGTTCTTGTTCTTGTTGTTGTTGTTGTTGTTGTTGTTGTTGTTACTGTCGCTGTTGCTGTTGCTGCTGCTGTTGCTGCTGTTGCTGCTGTTGCTGCTGTTCCTGCTGTTCCTGCTGCTCCTGCTGCTCCTGCTGCTGCTGCTGCTCCTGCTGCTCCTGCTGCTCCTGCTGCTCCTGCTGCTCCTGCTGCTCCTGCTATTCCTGCTGCTCCTGCTGCTCCTGATGCTCCTGCTATTCCTGCTGATCCTGCTGCTCCTGCTGCTCCTGCTGCTCCTGCTGCTGCTGCTGCTGGTAGTGGTGTCGTTGGTGTCGTTGGTGTCGTTGGTGTCCTGCGTGTCCTGCGTGTCCTGCGTGTCCTGCGTGTCCTGCGTGTCCTGCGTGTCCTGCGTGTCCTTGGAGTTGATGATGTTGTTGTTGTCGTTGTTGTTGGTGGTGGTAGTGTTGGTGTTGGTGTTGTTGTTGGTGGTGCTGGTCGTGGTGTTGCTCTTGTTGTTGGTGGTGGTGAAGTTGTTACTGTTGATGTTGTTGATGTGGTTGACGTTGTTGACGTTGCTGATGTTGTTGATGTTGTTGGATTGTTGGTGTTGTTGAGGTTGTTGAGGTTGTTGAGGTTGTTGATGTTGCTGATGTTTTGGACGTTGACGTTGTTGACGTTGTTGACGTTGTTGATGTTGTTGATGTTGTTGATGTTGTTGATGTTGTTGTTGTTGTTGTTGTTGTTGTCGGTGTTGTTGTTGTTGTTGTTGACGTTGTTGACGCTGTTGATGTTGTTGACGTTGTTGACGTCGTTGACGTTGTTGGCGTTGTTGATGTTGTTGACGTTGTTGGCGTTGTTGATGTTGTTGACGTTGTTGACGTTGTTGACGTTGTTGACGTTTTGTTGTGATGTGTTGGTTGTTGACTTTGTTATGTTTTTGATGTTTTTGATGGGTTGATGTTGTTGGTGTTGTTGACTGTTGATGTCGTTGCGGTTGTTGATGTGTTGTTTGTTGACGTTGCTGATGTTGTGCCTGTTGTTGATGTTTGTTGTTGTTGACTTTGTGTTATGTTTTGATTTTTTGATTCTTTGCTTTTGTTTCCTTTTTTTTTCTTTTTGTTTTTGTTTTTTTACTTTGTGATGTTGTTTGGTGTTTGTTTGACTTTGTTGTTGATGCTGTTGATGCTGTTGATGTTGTTGCTGCTGCTGCTGCTGTTGTTGTTGTTGCTGTTTGCCATTTCCTTTGACGGCAGAACTCTCTAAGGTGCACAAACAACTGCAACTAAGCAGAGGCCGGTGGCACCTGGAAACACAGGGTAGACGGTGTTGTCAAGGACAGTTGCCTGCAGAGAATCTGAATCTGATTGGTTTGCACAGGTTGCACTATTGGTTGCGACATGTTGGACTGGCACATCTCGAGCACCTTGAGTCAAGCTGGAAAGAAATGCAAAATCATAGTTTTCAAATGTTTTCAACCATCTTGAGGCCAGCCGGTCTGAGTCAGCCGGTCTGATGCTAGACGGCTAAGAAAAAGGGTGAGAAGGCAGCATGATGGCCTTCGTGACATCTGACTTGGCTGAGGTGTTTTGGAACCTAAGATCCAGCGACTCAACAGCACAGGTAGTGCCATGTCCTGTGCCACCAGTCTTAGAGTAGATTAGATGCCACCTTCAGAGGACTTGTTCACAACAAAAACAGACAAAAACAGTGGGTTTTGCCAATCTTGGACACAAACACACAAAAACAATAATCCACTGAGTCATACCCCGCCCCACTCACCACTGCACCAAGGGACACCGTTGCTACAAGCGCAGCTACAGCAGCTCCTAATCAGAATGCACAGCCGGACCAAGAAATGCAAT